GACATTATTTTATATGTTCTTTTAATCCACTTTATATATTTTGCTTATAATCTATCTTTCGTGGCTTATAATTATTCTTTCTTATCGTTCTTGTAAAGATCGCTAAGCCGCAAATGATCGACTCTATTTATCCTATTGGTTCTTTGTCAATCATTCAATAAATATTACGTCATGCAGATCATTACTCTTCTTAAATGTTTATCCTTTTCGGCTAATTATTTATCCATCTACGCCAATCCACGATTAATTTGTTCGTTCTTAATACTTAATAATTACATTTGGCGGTTGAATTTTATCTTCTTTTCGTGCTTGATATTCGGCCGTTTACATCGGTACCCGATATGTGTAAGATTGATTCAGTGTTACATATTAGTGACTAATCGTTTAAATATCAGGAATCCAATTTTTAGGTATATTTGATATGTTAGCATATTTAACTATTTGTGTCTAAATTCCATGTTTTAGAGGTTCGGCTAATTAAATATATTTAATTTTAGTATTATTTAATTATTATAGTGAGTCAAAATAATAATAAATAAAATAAATAAATAAATCAATACCTTGGAAAAGAGGGTTCAAAAAAAATGCCAGCAAGTAATCATTATCATCAAATTCATTGAAACGTGCATTAATTTTTTCAATACAATAATTATGAAATTCTGAATAAACTTGACGTGGTAATTTTTTTATTGCAAGAGAAATTCAAGCTAATTCTAAGTAACAATCGCTTAAATCAGCTTCTCTCCTTTCTAATGCTAACACAGCTTTACACAATGGATTTTGAACAAATCCAAGAACCTTCAACTCATTAAAAAAATTTCACGAACAAATGATAGGTTTAATTTTATCATTTGTTAATAAATCTGAGTGGTTGGCTGCCATCTATAGAAAAATTTATTATTCATATAATAATAGTATAAATAATAAAATTAGTTTTACTTATATTTTCTAGAACAGCTTTCACTTTCAAAATATCATCAATGCTTTTATAAGCAGTCGTCTACCTTATTTTGCAGTAAAGCACGATCACGCCACCTTTAATATTCATTGTATTTAAAAGTTCCTAGAACTTAGCATCTACAGTAATTTTTTTTTGTAAAAAAAAAAAAATTCAATTTAGCAATTATTAAGTATTAGTTATTTACTAATCTAGTAGTATATAAATGGGTTATCATCCGAAACCCATTTATATATTAAACTAGATCAGTAAATAACTTTTTTATCATCCTAGATATACTAATTAGTCTGCCAGTTTATAACTGGCAAAAAAAATCCTAAATACCAATTAGTAGCCAAGTGATAAAATAAATTATTACATTTAAGTTTAAAATATTTTTACCTGCTTTAGTATTATTTCTAAAGAATGTTACTAAAATATTCACTTTTTTTAGGAGTTTATTAGCGAATGGATGTTGAACTATGTCACATAACATTAAGTTTATATAGTGTGAAATGCATCGAACATTTATTATGTTTGGAAATTTTTTTTCAGTTAATTCACGTGCTTTTTGAACATTAGATCCATTATCACTGACAATAGCTGAAAATTTTGATACTCCAACTCGATTGATAACATCTTCTTTTCCGCAATATATTCCCCAGTATGTGAATCACTAAATAGATCAGAAAATTGAAATATATATTCTTTTCTATTTGGAGTTAGTATAGTAAAATTCCATATAGATCTATAGTTAGAAGATGACCACCTGTCTAAAGCTAATATTAAAAATTAAATATAAATTAAATATATCAAGTTATCAACAGATTTTCATTAAAAATTTTTTTTAAGTAACATACTTAGTGTTAAATTGTCTGACATTTGCAATTCTTTATGAATTTTAGAATTAACATTCCCTAATTCATCTTCAAATAAGCGATTGGCCAATAGTTCCCGAAATGGAGGGTCATATGCAATGTTAAATTTATTGATAAAATCTGTAAAAAATGGTGATTCTACTATACAAAAGATATTTTATAACATACAAAGAACTTTAACAAAGCTCTGTTGATTCTATCAATTCTTCTTTGAAGTAATTCATCAGCATCGTGATAATCATATAAAAATGTTTGATTAGAAAATTTTCTTTTTTTATTATTATTGTTTGCTTTCTCTTCAAATACTTTTTGATAATTTTGAATTAAGTGAGGTGGGGCATTTGAATAATGGTTTGCAATATGTCTCTATAATGTAGACACATTATTTCTGCTAAAAATTTTTTTACAAAATTTACAAGTTCCATTTGCATGCCCTTCTGAATCATGCTCACCTTGCGTATAATGCTCCTATACTTCATTCTGCGAACAACCTTCTTTGCGTTTATTAGTAATCATTTTTATAGAGAATAAAAAAATTTTTTTTTATCAAAAAATGACATGTTGTAAAAACAAATTTTTTGGAATGATGACGATTTTTAATTTAATTAATATTGCAAAATTTTCCTAACTGAAATGATTAAAATAAATTAAAATTACACAAATTTATCGTTGAAATTACATAAAACATCTCATAATAGGCAACCCTCATTATCTTTATACTTATAAATTAAAATATCACTCTCGTGATATATAAAATAAGATTATGACATTTTTTTTATAAAAACTCCTTGGACACATTGTGACATAAATGTCAATTTTATTTCCAAAAAGTTGTCACTACAAAAAAAATAAGGAAAAAACGTTAGCAAACATTTTGTAACCAAAGAAAAGTAAAACCCACATTTATATTTCACGTTCAAATACTGATTTTGTCTCTAAGAAGTTATTACTACAAAAAAATATATAGAACATTAGTAAACGTTCTATAACCAAAGATAATTAAAAAAATCCTTCATTTCACTCACCTTTCACCAAATCTTTGTTCTTAAAATACTAAAGACAAAGATCTAAAAAAGAAAGAAAGACATTAGTAACGAGTTAGTATAGAAACGAAAGAAGCAACAAAAAAAGACTTAACCTTTCTTTTTTAGGTATCATTTCGTTTTAAGTCTAATAAGGACACTGCTTACTTATAAGATAAGTCACCTTCAGGCTTAAGGTAAAAATCATATATAAAATTCTTTGCAAATCCTACTATAAAAGGAAATTTTATGTTACATTATTATGATTTTTTTCCTTTTTAGCTAATTAACCAATAGAATTTAAGAAAAAAGTAAGGTAAAAACTATTAGTAAAGAGCTAATTTTCTACGGTGACCTTTATTATAAGTAAGCAGGGTCCTGTCCAATACCAAGAAGCTGGTATCCCTACAAACAAAAAAAAAGAAAAAAAGAAACGTTAAAAACGTTTCTTAAAACATTAAAATTTTTTTAAAAAAACCTTCTTTTTACCTATCCGTCTGTATGTAAATTCCAGTTTCATCAATTCCAAGAAAACTGGTATCCCTATAATATTTCATTTTTCGTTAGAAAATGTTTCTTAAGTTATAATAAATTTAAAAAAGAATACCCACTTATCTTAATGTCCATGTTATCCATGTCCAAATTTATCCATGTCCAAGTTTATCCAGTTCAGTGTCTATACAAAAATAACAAAAATAAAAAAAAAAATTTTTTTTTATATATTGATTATTGATGATCAGTATAATTGACCAATCCTAACCGAATAGAGTAATGCTGAAACTATATGTATATCATATGATATACTATGTCAAAATGCCAAAACGATTTTGATATATTAAAATTATTACGGCATTTCGACAAATCAGAAGGCCATTGTCAAAATGTCGAAATAGTTTTGACTATTTTGACATGTTGAAACTCTTTAATTTTGGCAAGCAACTTTAATTATTACGTTATTGTTAAGAGAGTCGTAACTATATCAATATGTTATCATTTTAGAAAATCATCATAAAATTGTTATGATCTCATAATGATATCGTTAAGATATTATTTTAGATTTGAATATTTCAGTAAAAAAGAGTAAATGATAGTGTTGTTAAGTCCAAGTCAAGCTGAACCGGGCCAAACCGGGCTGATGGGATCAATTCGGCTTGACTTCTAGCTTAAAGCCGAATCGGTTTGGTTCGACTTGATAATTTCAAGTCGCGACTTGGTTCGACTTGAGTTGCAGCGGGCTGATGGGACCGATGGAGCCGATGGGATATAAATCCTAATTTCAGCCGGAATTAAATGATCTACACATAAATTTCCTATTTTGGAATATCATGTAATCCAAAATTTTAATTTTCGTAAAAAATAAAATTGCCTTTTTTTGGAATTTCGTGTAACATACATATTTCTGCCGAATTAATAGACCTTTAATTCCAGCCGGAATTAAATGATCTGCATGTAAATTTCCTTTTTTGGAAATTTGTGTAACTCAAAGTTTCAATTTTCGTGGATAATAAAATTTCCTTTTTTGGAATTTTGTGTAATGTCACGTGATATTGCAGTGTCAATCGGCCCCATTGGCCCGCCACAACACGGTTCGGCTTGGTTTGACTTGAGTTTTCAAGTCGATTCAGTTCGGCTTGGTTCGGCTTAACTTTTTATCAGCGCGACTTGACTTTAGCTTCAAGTCGGACCGAACCGGGCTGATAACAACACTAGTAAATGAATTAGGACTTTCAGAATTACCAGTTTATAATAAGCCTTTTAAATGTAAATTGAAAAATAAAGATAATACATTATATGTCATAGATAAGGATGACGCTGCAAATAGGCAATTGCAGAATAATTGCGATTTGCGGTATTGCAGAACATTGCGGATTTTGAAGTCTAAATATCTGCAAATCTGCAATTCGCAATTATTTGCAATTCCGCAAATATTTCGCAATTCCGCAAATGATCTAAAGTACCGCAATTCAATTGCAGTACAATTGCGGTAGGACCTCAGATAATTATAATAGAGGTCATATCCATGATACTAATAAAAATTCAAAAAAAATATACATAAATTTAACCATTTTATTATACGCTTTTATCCTATAACCTTTATATAACATTAAAATATACTTTTTTGTCATATGACTTAAATATATATTTGCATTAAAATTTTGTCATTTATTTATTTAATATTAATTGTAATTTGTCTTTTACTGAATTAAAAAAATTATAAATTTCCATTTCTCTTTTTCCAACTATAATAAATCCCATATTTTCTTTACATGTTTCGCAATTTCCTAGATAATAAATGATGGAATTGCTAGAAATGTGCGAGTATAAGATATATTTAGGACTGGCTATTGAAAAACATCCAAAAATATTTGGTACTCTTTCTTCATAAACACATACAGAAATATAGGAAAGTGAATCAATACAAGTAACATTATCATCAACATAAGAATAGTAATTTGATGATTGACGATATATTGCCAAGAACCGGACGAGATAAATTTTTGACCCTAGAAGAGCAAATGCATAACCACCACTTTTGGCAGGATCTTCTGGAGTAATGTTTGCAACGCAAATTCTTGGCAAGGCTAAAAAATAAATTAAATTTAATAAATATATATTTAGTAATAAATTTAATAAATTGTAAAAATTTATTACCTGGAGCATGAAGTATTCTTTCTAATGTTTCTAAACGATTTCTACTTTGCCATCTCTTTACTCTTAAAATTCTAGATCTCGCACCATTATTTTGATTCAAAGCTATAATATTATTAACCTTATTAGGATTAAAATTTAATTCCGTTTGAAATCTTTGTGTCACTTGAATTCTCTCCATTCTTTGACTAGAATAAGATTCATGTTTACGGCGCTGTAATACTAAAATTTTAATATCTAATTTACCTGATGATAATATAATTCCGGTTTGAAATGTTGTTTCATCATCTTGAGTAATTATTTTATCTGATTGATTATACATTAAATTTATTTCTGCCTGACTTTGTTTTATAATTAAATTATCATCATCTCCCGAATTAAAAATATTAATATTACATATGTTAACCAAATCTGCAGCCTTGCTAATTTCATCTGATTCAGAATTATCAGCTTTTTCCATTTTATCGTCATCCTGATTTAAATTTTCATCTAGTATATCGTTTTCATAAAATAATATATATGTATTAAATGATCTACCGTAAAAAAGATTTTTGTACAATTGTACCCAACAAATTCTAGAATTTGAGCAAATGCAATTGCCTGTTCATGAGATTCATGAATAATTAAATGCATTTCTTCATTTGTGGGATATGCTAATAAATTACCAATATTATCAGCTATGGTATCTTCATAATAATTCACTATATAACCTAATAT